ATTCCAAACTCTGGTCCAAAGATGGCATTCCTCCCAAATTAGGAGGAGGAGGACTAACTATAGCTTGCTTCGATATGATTGTATTTTGAATTGGTCAAATGAAGGAAGGCCTACAGTAGATGGTAGCTCCTGGTTAAACCTTCGCTGGTCCAAAAAAAAACCAAGTTGGAGCTGACCTAATTTTTTCACAGATATCTGATAGCCTGAAAAGTCTGGTCTGGTGGATGGGTGAGAAGTCTTTCCGGACAACGGCAAATCAACTCCATGCTATTGTCAAGGAGACTAAATGGACACGTCTTTGAGGCAAGGGAGAAGAGTCCAGATGCCCTCTACTGTTCAATTACAATTTGTGCAACTGACAAAGTTCTTTTAACCTCAGGTGGAAAGGGGGAGGAATGATAAAAGGGGGTGAAGAATTTCAAGGCAAAAATCTGAATCACTACTCAGATTATTAACTGGAATTATTACACGCATCCTTCCAGTTTCTAACTTCTTAGGTTCTCAGAACCAAGTGAATCCAGGAGCTCTGATGGAGCTGTGCGGGTGTTCTTCCAAAGACCCAAGAAAGAACAAGGACTGGTTTCCTCCAGCCATATACATGAAGACAAGAAGACTGAGAAGACATACCTATTTCAACAGAAGATCAGGAGCTATCTCAGCTCATGATCTTGGCTAAGGTCTTCTCCAGATGTCATTATTTTTTTAGAGACAAAAGATATTAGACACATTCCTGAATCTTTTTTCACACTGTAGAAGTCACCCATTGCGGCGTTTCTAGTCCTCTTTTATAAAAAGGTTTACAAGCCAAGTCTTTACTCTAGAACTGTTGTGTTTTAAAACAGTACCTTTATTATTCATTGGTTGAAGGTGTATATTTATGTCTGTATTTTATTGCGTTTCTCTACTGGCATGGGCTGTCTTCAACATACTTGGCGGTTGGCAAGAACAGAGAGAAATCAAACAAATGGAATGGAATAGGAGAAGGGAAAGGAGGAGGAGGAGGTTGGGACAAGTAGAAGCAGAGAAGAAGGAAGGAGAATAGAGTAGAGTAGAGTAGAGTAGAGTAGAGTAGAGTAGAGTAGAATAGAATAGAATAGAATAGAATAGAATAGAATAGAATAGAGAATGGAATAGAAAATGGAATAGAATAGAAAATGGAAGAATAGAATAGAACATAGAATAGAGAATGGAATAGAAAATAGAATAGAGAATGGAACAGAGAATGGAATAGAAAATAGAACAGAATAGAAAACAGAAGAATAGAATAGAAAATAGAATAATGGAATAGAAAATAGAATTGAATCAAAAATAGAATAGAATAGAAAATAGAAAATAAGAACAGAATAGAAAATAGAAGGAATAGAATAGAATTAGAATAGAATAGAGAACGGGAATAGAACAGCTTTTCTTTGATAAAGTGTGATTAGACACACAAGGAATCTGTCTCCAGTGCTGAAGCTCTCAGTATACATGCAAAGCAGAATAACAATAATACCACCAATAAGAGGGGGCAGTAAAGAAGATAATAATGATAATAATAAAACGGCCATACTGCATGGGTAAAATATGCATAGAGAGTACTGTGAGAAGCAGGTGTTCAGCAGAGTGATGGCCCGAAGGGGGGAAAAAAACATGAGTGAAATAAAAGTTAAAAATCTGGAGAAAGTCACCTTGTACCTCCAGGAAATGCTGCGTCCGTTTTTTTCACTGCTTTCCAGAATTCCAAAACCCGAATCAACGTTGGTTGATGTGATGCAAACAAGGTTTCTTATCAAACAGCAACATGCCAAACAAATGACAAAGCCAAAGACGTCACACATGAAACTTAAAATGTTTATTGATTGCTAAGGTGTAGGACTAATGGGAGCTGGAGTTCACGAGGGACCCAGGACAGCAGAAAAATAACCTGCTATCTAAAATGCATTTCCAAATGACTTGGAGAGAACAAAAGAAATTAGTTTTGTCAGGCTAATAGCAACTTCTACGGGCTGACTTACGCTTCTCCACTGAATCTCAGGCAAAGAACTAAGCGTGTCATGCCCCTGATCCTGAGGGGGAGGCTGAGCACTTGACAGGGAATGGGTGTGTGGCTCCATCAGCTGTGGAAGAAACTGGGGAAGGACAAAGTCCAGCTGTGCAGAGCAGGGCAAAGGTAGGAGAAGGGAGAGGGAATTTGGAGGAAGACCCAGGCCCACCCTCTCTTCATCCTAGGGCACGTAGGGAGGAACGGAAAAGAGAGCAACGTGGGTTGTGTGGCTTACGGGGGAGAAAAGGGCCCTGATTCCCTTCATTAGCTGCAGCTGGGAACACAGTGTTTAAAAAGGGAAGCTACACACAGCAAAGTTGTTGGAAGCAAATCGTGAGTTATCTGTTACTGTCGAGGCTTATCTAGAGTTCCTGGTGTCTCCCCAACTGTGTGTGTTTTGCTGGCCTTTCAAGTCTGTAATTCTTTCTCCTGCCCCTGTCCAGTTAATTACTGCAGCGTGGTTTGTGTGGATTATTAGTTACAGTTTGGATGTACTTTGTTTCCGGACTGAATTTCCTCCATTTAAAGACTGTTCTTGGGAGAGTTTCTTTTTCTCCAGCTGAAGGTAACCTGGACATTGGGGGCAAAGTTGGAGGTATTCTTGCTTATTTGACTGTGTTGCTTGTGTGCCACGCCCCAGGTCATCACAAAGCGGGAACTCCATTGTCAAATGTATGTTTTTCGAGACCTCGAAAGGCAAGCAAAACACCATGCATTATTTTAATGCAAACTTCACTGGCTTTCCTCACACTTTCTTCATTTCTCAGGAGATCCCTGCCTCTCGAGAACTCGCTGAATTCTGACAGCTGAGAAAGGGGAGTCAAGTAACCCCAAATCATAATTAGAAACAGAAACCAGAGAAACGTGAGGATGATGGATGGAGGAATAACTTTGAGGTTGCTCTTCTACTTCAGTTTTCTACAAGGTAATTTTTCTTTCGCATCAAATTCGTGCCCTGGTGCTCAAACTGGCACGAGTCTCTCGCTGTTCAAAAATGCAGGGCCTTTCTCAATCCTGTAAAAAAAAAGGTTTGAGCCTGTGTGATTTCTCACCTCCCAATCAAAATTGGCAGGATTGATTCACTTACTATTTCCTGTTCCCAGCCTAGCCAAGGTGAGCTGAGAATTCTTTTGGTGTCTTGGTACAAAACTATGTCTAGAACTTGGCCTTCCTACGGATTGAGAGATGCACCACTCTAGTGACTTGGATCCTGCCCCCAAATAGAGGCATAAAAGAGACCAACCGCATGCGTAAACCAAGATACTGATTAGGGCTTACGTTCTTTCACAGGTGTAGAGATTGATCCTTTAATAAGGGTTCCCCGGTTATATTTAGCAAGCTCTGAATCATCGGGGTTGCATCCCAGGCAAAGTGCAGGCAGAAAACGTCGCTACATTTGATCTTTATTTTCCCCTCTTTCGCAAAAAAATAACAATAGCACTTAGACTTATATACCACTTCACAGAGTTCACAGACCTCTCTAAGCAGTTTACAGAGTCAGCCTATCGCCCCCGACAATCTGGTTCCTCAACCATGGAAGGAGGGAAGGCTGAGTCAACCTTGAGCTGCTCAGGATCAAACTGCTGGAAGTGGGCAGAATTAGCCTGCAATATTGCAGTTTAATCAGTGAGCACTATGGATGGATGGAAGGAAGGAAGGAAAATATCTATAACACTTAGATTTATATACCGCTTCACAGTGTTTTACAGCCCTCTCTAAGTGATTTACAGTCAGCATTTTGCCCCCAACAATCTGGGTTGTCGTTTTACTGACCTCGGAAGGATGGAAGGTTGAGTCAACTTTGAGCCGGTCAGGAAAATAAATAACTCTCTTGAACACCTTGCATTTATTTTTGTAGGAAGCTCTGAAATGAACTAAAAAATGATTAGAAAAGAGCTAGGATTTCGCATGCCTGCAGTGCCTGGGAATATAGTGCTGATTTTTTTTAAAAAATGTTTCTCGTAATTCTCATGATGTTATTGTTTTAATATCAGGAAGCAGAGAGACTGCCGATATTGCAAAGGCCTGGGCACAGATGAAACGGGGAAGGTGGGTCCTCACAACCAGGCTGGCTGTAATCCTGATCAATCCCAGCTAACCAAACCTCCCTCTTTTTAGCCAGTGCAAAACCCTGTTCAGAGCTGTCTGTAGGATATTCCTGAAAGCTGTTGCTGTAGCATCATGAAAAGAAATGCATGAAAAAGAGAAACCAGCAAGGATTGCATTTTTAGGAAGTCTGTGTATATCCAAACCGTTTTTTCCCCCCTATACTGAGGATGTCAAGCTCCCATTTTAAAAAGGCAATAAAAATAAACTTCAAAGCCTTAAGACACAGATCTCCAACCTTGGCAACTTTAAGAGTTGTGGACTTCAACTCCCAGAATTCTGGGAGTTGAAGTCCTCAAGTCTTAAAGTTGCCAAATTTGGAGGCCTCTGCCTTAAGGCAAAGGTGTCCAACCTTGGCAACCTTTAAGACTTGTGGACTTGGAAATTGTGGGAGTTGAAATTCTTTGGTCTTAAAGTGGACTTAAAGCTTAAATAGTCTGAGAAGTTTTTCCCTCTTCCCAATTTATTTCCAAACCTCTCTCTGTGAAGAGTAAAAGGCAGTTAATTTTTTTTAAAAAAAGCCAGAAACCAATCAATTATCCTTCCATAGTGTATCTTTATGAGCAAAATCAAACCCATTGACGAGTGAAGTCAACCTCTAATGCCGAGATGTCCCATTTTAAAACTTTTCTAGGCATTATTCACCTCAGAAGAACTGATATTTCAAAAAGTCCAATTCCTAAAATCAGCACCAAGGGCATTATTATACGCATACAAAATATGCCCTCAACAATGTGCCCAATAAAATGGTAAGTTCTAGGAAACAGATTAGCTTGCATGGTAAAATAAACCTGACATTATGCTTGAATCAAAACACCGAAAGAAGTATGTCAAAGCAGGTTTTGTTAAAAAACAAATAAGGCACCTATCACAGTTTATTTCGTTCTGAGCATAAATAGCTACATATATATTTTAACAATAAGAAAGCAAAACACAGTTGCATGTACATATATTTACAGGAATACCATACAAAAAAAGAAAAAGTAAAGCAAGGTTAAGACACAACTTGTTTAAAAATTCTTAACAGCTGGACATTTCAGGTTCAGATCTAGAGGGAAATATGTCACCCACACCCCATGAAACATTTGCGGGACTTCAGTGCAACTAACCACCAATAAACTGAGATCACAACACAAACCACATCAACTTTTGGAGTCACCTCTCCTGACAAAATAAGGGTTTGTTTTAAGACGAAAGCCTTAAAAAGATAATGACCAAAGGCTTTTGTTTGTCATAATTCCTCAACTAGTTGGCAACAAGAACGTAAGGACTGAATGCGCTTTGGACAAATCTATAATGCAATCCCAATTTTACTCCATTAGTAAGTAAGCCCCTTCCTAAAATTCAACTTGAAGGCATCTTCACTCTCCCTTATTAGACTTCTGTGTGTGCAACCTAAAAATTCATTTTCGGCAGCTGCTTCTTGCTAAATTGATGGAAAGTTGCAAGAAGCAGCTTTGCAAACTCACCACACACATGAGGACTGTTTCACACAAAACAGGTCTTCCTCAAGTTCTTTGACTGAAGGGGTTCAAAGATGCAACAAAGGCCATTCTCAAAGGCAGCCTAAAAATCAGGTGCAAATCTCCCCCCCACCCCCATCTCAACAACGCCATGCTTTCTGAGTGTTTAGAAAGAAATAATCTGAAATTAAAACAAAGCAAAATAGCTTAATAAACTTCACAGTGAAATACATCTTTAAGGCAAGGAAGGCTTCGGTTCACACGTGACACTAAAGCTGGGTTTAGTGTTAGCTTTGCACAGAGCTGAGAATTGGAATCTTCCACGCTTTCTTTGTCCTCTGAAGGCTCACAAGTCAAGGTTAATTTCATTTCATGACGCAACTAAACTGGCTTACTGTGAACTTCAGCGGACAAAATGGTTTCAAACTCACTTTCAGTCAATGTCAAGTCGTGTCAATTTCAAGCCCTGGGCTAGTTTGTTACTCTGTTTAAGATCCTAAACTAGGATCGCTGGCTCAAATGTAATGCCAAACTACCTTCTGTATAAAAAGAAACAATGTTTTTGCTCAGTCAGAGGACAGTTGAGTTATGAAGACCGAATTCCAGCCCTGATTTTGCCCCAGCCAGCTTTATGTGTGAACCAGGTCAGTCTAGGACCACCAGTAAAATCACATTATTTAACAAGAGTGCTGACGCTTCTCAAAAACAGTTTGCAGATTCGCCCGTTTAAAAAAAAGGAGGCACTTAAGATTCCCACTCTGTGGCCTTGAAGCGATTAAAACATTAAAAAACATTTTGTTTATTATGCAGTGGTTTTAAGATGATTTAAAAACACATGAAAAACGGAGAGAAGAGAAAGCAATTCTATGCAATCTCAACCGCCTTTGCTTAAAAATAAAATGCAATCATTATCGTGAAACGTAACCTCTGAAACATAGCATTTAGGACTACAGTCAAATCGCAAATAGGGCTGCTTTAGTTTCAAACAATACAAATTTCAAGACCTCTGGTTTCTGGGTGATGAATCTACCCATTCCCAACTGGTAACACTGATGTGCTGGGAGTTTTGCAACTCATCATATACATTTGCATGTATGTAATTAAAGCAGCCTTTAAATGAGTCCACATCAGAGGGTGTTCCAGCTTCTTTTATGTTTGGTTCAGGTCTGCAGATATCAAAACTTTAAAAGAGTCCTACAAGATCCTTAAACAACTACTTAATTTTTTTTTTTTTTTTGCCATCTTGGAAAACAGAAAATCCTCGTTATGGCAAGAAAAAGGCATCTTGATGAGAACTTGGAAGCGTTTCAGGAGATTCCCAACCTCCAAATGAAGGTTAGGAGAAGTGTGCAGCTAGGATAATTCCAAGGATAACAGTCAAGAGAGTGACACAAATTAGCATGAACATCAGTTTCTGCAAAGAGAGGGGAAACTAGGATTAGCTCAGCCCCAAACAGTGGTGCACAGATGTATACAAACCAAAGAGGGGAGAAGTGAATTAACAGAATAACAGAGTTGGAAGGGGCCTTAGAGGTCTTCTAGTCCAACCCTTTGCTCTGGCAGGAAGCCTTATATACCATTTCAGACAAACGGTTACCCAATCTCTTCTTAAAAACTTCCAGTGAAGGAGCACCCACAACTTCTGGTACCAAGTCATTTTACTGTTTAATTGTTCTAATTGTCAAGTTGGTTCTCTCCTTAGTTAGTTCCCCTCCTTGTCCTGCCTTCAGCCGCTTTGGAAAATTAAAAATTAAACATTTCCAGTGTTGGAGCATCCACAATTTCTGGAGGCGATTTGTTCGACTGATTAATTGTTCTAACTGTCAGGAAATCCCTCCTTAGTTCTAAGTTGCTTCTCTCCTTGATTAGTTTCCATCCGTTTCTTCTTGTCCTGCCTTCAGGTGCCTTGGAGAATAGCTTGACTCCCTCTTCTTTGGGGCAGCCCCTTAGATATTGAAACACTGCTATCTTGTCCCCCCTAAGTCCTTCTCTTCATTAAGCTAGACGTACCCAATTCCTGCAACCCTTCTTCGTATCTTTCGACCTCCAGTCCGCTTCTTCGTTGCTCTTCTCTGCACCCTTTCTATTTTGGCATTTTCCCATCATAACACTACAGGTGCAAGCCATCTCAAAGCGAGGCGGAATGGGGTAGCCAACTGACCTAAAGAGTCCTCCCCTCCCCGAAAGATCTGCAGAAATCAAGCACACCTAGATCAGGAGGGGATTACCGACTGCGATCTTAATCCTCAATCTCCCTTCATCCCATCCCCTCTTCTATAAACTGATGTAAAAACCTCAAATGTCCACCTTCCTAGCCTCCAAAAAAAACCAAAAACAATAACAAACGGGCCCCAGGAAAGCAGGGCAGAACCAATTGGGTTTTAGACTTAGAACTATTGGCACGCAAAACAAAATATTTCAGTGGCAATTAAGCCACTGGAGGTCTAAGTTAAAACCTGCCCTTTTTTGGCTCTCAGACAGGCTGGGAAGAAAGCAAGCGTACGCACAACATTGCAGTGAGAATACAGAGGTTACAGTTTTAGAAAAGATTAACAGGCGAGGCCAGCCAGTCGATTAGTACTTACGGAGAGGTAGTAGGGGCAGTTGCTCGTGGGCAGTTATCTAAGCATCAAGGCACCCCAACAGACAAGCCAATTATTAGAGCCAGTAGAGCTAACAGCACCAGCACAATTGTGACAATAATCCATTTTTTCTGCCAAAGGAAAAGAAGGCGATTGCCTCTGTTAAGGGTTTTATGTGAGTTTTCTAAATGGAAATGGAGTCAGTTCTCAACAGGCACAGAGGAACCCGGATACAGCGGCTGGGCCTCAACATTGGTAGGCATCCCTTGACTTACAGCCATTCGTTTAGTGACAGCTCAAAGTTACAACAGCACTGGCAGGGCGGAGGGGGGGAAGAAGAGACTTAAGGCCGTTCCTTGCCGTTAGGAACATCATGCCCAGGTTCACCCGATCAAAATTTTGGGCGCTTGGCAACCAGGGTGTTATTTATGATTGTGGCATCGTCCCAGTGTCAACCCTGGAGCTGACGGGATTGGGAGTAGAGAGAGCTGGGGTTTTGTAGCCAAAACAAAATACTTTCTCTGGGGAACCAAGGACATTCTCACACCTGGTCGGAGGGAGGAAGAGTGATGTTACCAGGCAAGGGTGAGGCTCCAAACATTTCAGCAACGGGTTCTCTGCCTGGTTACTGGGTGGGCGTGGCCAAGGTGGGCGTGGCCTAGTCGGCCTCCTGCATCATGGGGGGAGGGAGCCGCGTTTTTGCCTTCCCCAGGATCCGGAGGCTTTCCTCGAGCCTCTGTGAGGGCGAAAACTGCCTCCCATGGGCTCTGGAGGCCCCCTGGAGGCTGGAAACAGGCCCATTTCCAGCCTTCCTGAACCTCCGGGAGGCCCGTTATTCCCCGTCCGCACAGGCCTGGGATCTGGCGGTTTGACGAACCAGCCCTAATGTTATCAACAAGTCCTCCCGAACCTGGGCGAACCCACAGCAGCCCAGCCCTGATTACCAGTCAACCAGACAGCACCTTGATTGGACCCTGTGACTGATGGTTTGGGGAGAAGGGAAAATATTTACTTTTAACTTGGTGAAAACCGTGGGAACCTTCAGAGTCGGTTTTCACCGGAACTGTGCCGATACGTTATATCCAAATAGAACTATTTTTTTCAGGAATCTACCTGCCTTGGAGTTTTGTTCGCTATGGTGGGTGTGTTACTCGGAACCCTGACACCCAGGAGGTCACGTGATCACTATTTGCAACTTTCCTGGCTGGCTTCCGGCAAGCAAAGCTCATGGGGGAAGCTGGATCCGTGTACCGATTGCATGATTCGCTTAACAGCTGTAGAGACTCGCTTGCTAACGGTGGCCAAAAGGTCATAAAACCAGGCACGACTCAACCGCCGTGCTTAGCGACAGAAATTCTGGTTCCCATTGAAGTTGCAAAAGTCGAGGATTCTCTGGAAGGACTGCGGTGGGTAAGCAAGACAGTGTCAACTCAAAAATATTTCTCTGGTCTTTTAGAGTTGCCAGCAGAAAGGGCCTTTTCATAGATAATTTCTAGGCGACCGAGGCTTCTGGTGCACAAGATTATTACTGGAGAGCATGATTGATGACTCTTGGCTATGGATGTGTCCCATTGGAGAATATGAATTATGATACTGTTGTGGTTCGCTGGCAGCAGGTGTGGGTGGCGGAGGTCTCTGACAGCAAGGACTCGGCTGAGGGGTCTGAGGGTGATGCAGGGATGGGGCCAGGGCTATTGGAGAGTGCATTGCTGCCTTTGGAGCTTGTGGAGGCTGGCAGCAGTGATGAAGAGGAACCCGAGGAGCCTGTACCCAGTGCGTGTGTGTGTGCAGGGCTGCTTGAAGGAAAGAGCAGCTGCAGCAGCTCGGGCGACTCGGGAGTAAGGCTGCAAGGTGATGTCCCCTCCCTTAAGGGATAAAAGCCAGCCCTCAGCGGTGGGATTCTTTGCAGGAAGCAAAGAAGTTCTTGCAACTTCAAGTCTTGTGGAAGTTCGGGCTATCCTGGTTTGTGTTTGGAGACTTTTGGGTTTTGACTATTTCCTTGCAATTTAATCTAGTGTTCTTGGCAGCCTTGCACAACCTTGGCAAGGCTTATCCTTATCTGGGACAATTAGTTTTTAATAGCGTTTTACTGTGAATGAACGGAATTCACAGAGAAGCATTACAAAGGTTTTGCTTTTATCTCTGTTTGGTGTTTGTTTGCTTTGAAGGAGGCTTGGGTCAGAACGGATACTACCCAGGGGGTGGGGGGGGTGGGGAGACCAGGGTCAAGGGTGAAATGAATGACGTTTTCTCAGAGTCGGCTGCACCCAGGTAGCGCTGGCATGTTCACTCCTAACAAATCTTCTTTAAGTTGTCTGAAAGAACCGGCTAGAGACTCATGATTTAAACGAAGGTGACTACCGGAGCCCGGACAGACAACACATGATATAAAAAACATTCAGAAAACACTGATCGGGGTTTTTTTTTCTTTCCCTACGGGGAAAAACTTACTCTACGAGCTTTACTTTGATATTTGACGGCCTTCTTGGTCTCCTCCTTGGCGTGTTCTACGTAGTCCACCGCGTTCATCACGTTCTTCTCGATGCTGTTGACCATTTCGCCCTTCGGGGGAAAGCCAGAGAAACACACACAACGAACAAGAAAAAAGCAGAAATTGGCCATGAATGTCACCTTGCGACGAACAGCAGAATGGAGACGATGGATGTTAGATAGATATAGACAGACAGATAGTAGGTAGGTAGATAGACAGAGACAGACAGACAGATGGTATGTAAGTAGGTAGACAGACAGTAGGTAGGTAGGTAGGTAGACAGACAGACAAGACAGTTAAGTAGGTAGGTAGATAGATGAATGGATGATAGATATAGACAGACGCTAGGTAGGTAGGCAGACAGAAGACAGGCAGGTGGTAGGTGGGTAGGTAGGTAGATAGATGGATGAATGGATGTTAGATGGATAGATAGATAGATAGATAGATAGATAGATAGATAGATAGATAGAT